CACAAATACCAAGAATATCGACTATTTTTTAATCATTACGATTTTTGCCATTTTCCCATACCTTAAATGATTTTGCCGTTGCTTTGGTCCAGCCACCACCCGATTTCAACCACTACCGCAGCACCAGGTGCTAAAAATTTTGTGTAACCTTTCCTGCCCGGCTTTTTCATCGTCTTCTTAAGTACGCCTTTGTTACAGTAACCGAGCCACGGTACCACTCCCCGAGACCGACCACTACCACCCGACACCCTGTGGTAAAAATTTAGCGGACTTTTGCGTTAAAGTTCTCATTGCTCTTCCTTCTAATTTACGCTTTTACAGTCATCGAGCCACGTTACCCTCCCCGGGTATCTACCACCCGGAGACCAGGTGGTAAAATTTAGCTTATTTCGTCTTGGCCGAATTTGGCCTGCGCTTTTCTAAATTATGCCTTTGTTATATTAGCTTAGCCCCGATACCCTCCCCAAGACCGACCACTACCACCAACGCCGTGTGAGTAAGTGCTTATAATAATTTTCCGATTTCGCGCTCCTTCTCCTAAACTACGCCATTGTTATAGTCGAGGCCCAAAATACCACCCTCCACCAGAAGCCAGCAACCACTACCACCACACTACTCCTTGTGGTAATTTTGGCAGATTCTTTTTCAATTCTTCTTGATCTGTCTGTCGAAGTTATTTTTGGTTTTTTTCTTCTTTTATTTTCCCTTTAAGAACTGAATCTATTACAGTAACCTACCCGAGTCGAGACCACCACCACCCAACGCGACCCCATGTGGTAGTGCAACCCTAGTTCTTGAATTTTTTGTAATTCTTAGTCACCGATCGACCCTCCTGGTGGCCTAGGCCTGTTTCCAACCTGATCGATACCAATACGGTATTTGCACCCTTTATTGCCGCTATTTTCTATACCTAGACGAATATGGACGTCAACTTGAAGGGGTACAACCAAACTGAAGCCCCATACATCGACCCCACCTATGTGCATGTTCCCTATAATGGTATTTTTGCCATCTCTGACGTTGATAACCTTTTTGAAGGAGATCAAACAGCTGAGGTGGATACGAGGGAGAGGTGGTAAGTTAACCGCTATTGGCCGATGTTAATTAATATCCATCTCCAGCCCTTGAAACTACTGATGAAAACGACATTTTGGCATCAAATTCGGAGAACCAACAAGAAGCCTACGAGCTGCCAGTCTCAGAGGAAAGGCCAGAGGGTTTGTTACGAAGAAAACTATGAAAAACAGTGGATTCAGCAGAGACGGCAGACACCGGGCCCGATTTTCGTCAGACACCTGCCCGAAGGAGCTGTGATTTTCTCATAAAATCCGGAATTTAAAATTTAGGCCAATATCCGAGACCCGTATGATAGAGGACACAACCCGTGGCGCAAAGCCAGTAAGGGTGTAAGCTGTAAAATCAACGGAACGATTTCTTGAGCTTTTAGAAAGAGACCAAGCCGCTTATTAAGCAAGAAGAGGATCCTCTACAAACGCGAACAAGAGCGAAAAAGGCTTGAATGGAGCGAATAAAGCAACAACGTATGGTCGACGTTAGTTGAAACGTTTTTTGAGCTTTTAGGGAGAGAATGAACGGAACGGGAAATTCACGCTGGCCGGAGACGACCACCTATAAATGTAGGTAGCTGAGGGGAAATTACGGAACTGGGCAATTCTCATCCTGGACCTGGCGTTTAGATACATACCAGAACCCTTACGGCAACGGACAAAGTGGTCGTTATCCTGGTCAAAAGGTCAATAAAGGAACCATCGAGAGCATGATCGATCAGGGTAAGAAACTAGCTTATTAACGGTACATCTATAACCATTTTTTTAGCCGCAAATCAGCCGAGATATCCTAACCACAACGGTACTACCTTTAACTGTTTTTGGTTTTGGTTGATTTTCCCAGTTCTTTTCAATCTTTCATCGATTCTGCTATTTTTTCCGTTTGTTGATTTTTCGGCTCCTTTTATATTTGCTCTTCGTGATGATAATTTACGTCATCTATCCCTGTATTTTCAGATAGATACGACGATCGCTATGGTAAGCAACAAGGTCGATACCCTGGGCAATCAGTCCCAAAGGGAACCGTCGAGGGCATGATTGATCAGGGTGCGATTACTTTCATGTTCAATCGTTACCCAAAATTTCAGCAGCACGCGAGCAGAGATATCCAAAGCGAAACGGTACTCCCTTGACTCAATTCTATGTTTTGCTAATTTTCCTTGTTATTTTCTATTTTGATTTATTTTACGGTATCATGCTTGTTTCGCTCTTTTCCGCTTTGTTTTGATGTTAAAAACATTAAATTTAACTATATTCAGCGGGCAGCTATCGAGAGAATACGAGATATGTTGACGACTTGATAAAACAGCGACGCGGATATAATTAAATTTATTGTTTTGGTTCTGGAGCCATTATTCTCTTCCTTTTCGATTATTTATTTTCATAATTTCGATCTTTCATCAAAAATCCTGAATTTTGTTGTTTTTACATTGCTACCGTTCTTTCACTCATCGTCTCCCACTTCTGATTTGGTACAAACCTTTACACGTATTTTTATTGTTGTTGCCTTGTAATAAATTGTTTAGTTTTGGTAGATACATTAAAAAACTGAATGAAAATACAGAAATCAACAAGAAACAAAGTTACAAAAAGTCTAAATAAAACCAATTAAAAAGAAATACTCGAAAGGACTTCCTGCAAAACTTCGCACGGGATCGGGGCGCCAAAAAAATCGATAATAATTTCCGAAATAGGCGGCAGGGGTTTTCTAGGGCTAGCCACGCATTAATGGCAATAGATCCTGATCATAATGCTTCTTTTCCAGTTGTCGAACCATCCAAGATCGCCACGGTCACCGTTCTCGGTGGCAACGTGCAACTCTTCGACCTTGGCGAGCCGGCCGAGCTGACCTGTGCCGCCACCGGATCTAACCTTGTCGACCGTATTGAGTGGTCTAGGGTACGTTTTTGATAATTGGTTTTAAGAATTTATACGCTTTATCGGAATCACCACCATTTTCAGGTGCAAGACCAACTGCCCCAAGACGTCGAGGAGCACAACGAGCAGGGCGTGCCTTCACTTCCCGTCGTTCAAGGCCAACTACGCCGGAGAGTACGAGTGCCGGTGGGTTCTCAGAACAGCTTTTATCTTTTCCATAGCCTATAAGCTGTAAAATATCCAATTTTAGTGGATTCCGAGGAAGCGAGGTCATCGCCACCTCCACAGTCCACGTCCACCCCAGCAGCGAGGACGTTGAGGAGGCCAGGGTAAGATATTTTTCATCCTGTATGTAAACCGAACTTTAGGTTACCATCGACCCACCACGTGTCCGTGTCGTGACTCAGGGTGACGCTATCGTTCTGAACTGCGCTGTCGAGGGTACGTTAAGCCTATGAATTACCTTACTGGTGATATTGCTGCACGTTTTTTCTTTACTAACTTTGCTGTGGTTTCTTTTTTGGTTTGAGCTAACGCTTTAGCACACGCTAACCCGCACCGACCGGCGGACATTGTGTGGTATTACACGAGAGATGGGCTGAACGTCATCGGCGTGTCGACAGACGAATATTTGCATATTAACCGGATAAGGTAGAGGACCTAACTAGAGCGAGAGGTAGAGAAAGAGAGAGAGAACGACGCTAACGTTTCTGATTTCGCTTTTTTCATTGACTAACACCGCTTTCCACACAGCATCGACCAAGCCGGGTTCTACTGGTGCGACGTAGAGGGCGAGTACGAGACGCGGCGCCCAACACGTGTGATTGTCGTGCAGAGGTGGTGTGGTCGGTATTCCAGCTGCTGTACGTCCCCAGGACAATGACAATTTTGACTTAAAGCTACTGCAATTCCCAAAAAAAAACGGCGGGGCAAAAACCACAAAACGCTTGGAGTTATGTGCTAACTTGTTTTCGCATGTTTCGTACTTGGTGTCTGGTTGTGTTTGAGTTTGGTTGTTTTGTCTTTTCTGCTTGAATTTTAGTCTAACAGCTTGTAATTGCAGATCACTCACATGGTCTGGGTGCCCAGAGGCGCACCGCGTAGTTCCAACTGGGCTACGCTATGATCCTTTGTGCATGCATACCTGGCGCTCCGCTTGCACTTTTATTTACATCCGCTTTAATCCCCAGAACCTCACAAATTTCAGCTTCAACCCCCTATTGTCTTACCCTCATGTCCATTCCAGGAGCCAAGGGCAACGAGCACTTCGCCTGGCATCTGCTGCGCGGAGGACAGATCATCCGCAACCTCGCCAAGACCCCTCGGCTCCACATCGCCCAAGCCGATGCTGGAAATGACTACTGGTGTCTACAAGTGCGAGATCGAGGACGACAACGCGCAAGTCATCGGCGCCGCCTACGCTGCCGTCACCATTGGACATTCAGCGAAAAGTCGGCAGTTCACAATTAGATACCTTAAGCCTTTAAATCAAATCTGATGTCATTTCCTTTGTAAAATCGGGATCTCGGGGCGAAACTGCAAGTGTTAGGGGGTTAGAAAAACAATTGACTCTCAATAGAAAACCCTGGATTTTTTTTAGAGCCGGCCGAGATGAAGTTTGACGAGAACGCCGAGGCGGTGCTAAACTGCCCCGTGTACACGGTACCCGGATCAAAGGTATGGATTTTTCAGGATATTTATGGGCTTTTTAAGGTTGAGTGGAGCCGCCAGGGACGGTGATATGCCCAGCAAGGTGCAGCAGAACCAGAGTCGTCTTGTGTAAGTTTTTAGAAAAGCATCACACCGTCTTTAAAAAATTGGCGCCCAAATATACTCGCGCAAACAAATGTAGAACTTATTAGAACCAAATCTCCTTATATTCGTTGTTCTTTTTCAGCATCAAGGACTTTGATGACGACACGGCCGGCCTCTACGTCTGCAAGGTCAACATCGATAACCACGTCGTCGAGGGCTACGTTGATGCCATGATTTCTGGTATCAGAAAACCCACTCCTGGTTAAAAGTGTAATTTAGTCCCGGACACCATCATCCAGGTTTTGCTCGAGCCGTCCAGCGAGAACGTGCAAGTTGGAGATCGGCTGTGGTTCGACTGCAAGGTGGGTTATTTTTTGAAATTTGGGCTGGGAAGTTGTTCAAGCTGATGAAACCTAGGCTGTTTAAATTGCATGCGATTTTTTAGGTCACTGGAGATGACACAGCCAACGTTACTTGGGTTCGGGAGGGAGAGGATTCTCTGCCCGACAATGCTCAGGTAAGGGATTTCACGCTCGATCAAGGGTTTTCTTTCTCTCTCGCTCACTCTCGCTCTCTCTGGCTCTCTCCCGCTCTCTCGGTGTCAGTGTTTTGACCAATCTACCTTGCCTCAGCGCTCCAGAAAAACAACAAACACCCACGTTTTCAGGTCGCCGAAAGCGCCTCCAGTTCACCGCCGTGCCGAGGACAACAGCGGAACCTACAAATGCGTGGCCAAGACCCGAGCGGCCACCCTCGAGGCGAAGACCGTGCTGAACATCGGCTCAAAACGCAAGCGAAAGCACGCGCGCCGGGGCCGCCAAGCACGCCGGGGCCGTCGTCTGCGCGACGCCGAGAGCCGTCGGAAAGCCTTCGAGAGGGGGCTTTTCGGTGACTTGTTTGGTGGACGCGATTAGATGGCCGCTTTTTAGGGGCTTTTAAGGGTGTTCTAGGCGTTTAAGAGATTCTGATGTTCTTCAAGTTATCTAAAAAGTGTCCACCAAATTCTCTAAAACCCTAGTAACCCCCCAAAAAGTCACGTGCGCGCCCCTATCGTTTTTGTAGTTTGTGCCGCGCATTTTCTTTCATCGCTAATTCTCGCATGCTTATCCCCGTCCGTCTCGGTGCCCCGGTTTGCCTTCGTCTCCATATCGCTCAACATCCACAGAGTTAGCCCCCTGTAGTCTTTAGTCTAAAAATGTCGAATTTTGTCGTCGTGTGCCATAATGGAACACCACTGCCCTTCCGTAGAAACCCCGCTCCTCTAAACGACCTTGCCAACTAATGATTGCTCACATTTTTTAAGCGGCTCAAAATTTTATTCAAAAGCCGTGAAAGGTGGCATGGGTGCGTACCGGAGTGTTGTAGTTCGCGATACGACACAACTACGCTACACTCCCTCGTACGCCCCTAGCCGCCTTTTCTAACCCTGACATTTCCGGCCCCCGTATTCCTGCCAAAATACTGCCAAAAACAATCGTAACAACCAATCTGGTGCTCGAGCATAGTATCGCCTACAGTATTCCGTACCCCGTTAAAATACTTATCCCGTGGACCAACCCATGCTAATTCCAACGTTTCGCCCCTGCCCCTCCGTCGACTGTTTCCCTTTTTTTCTTGCGTGTTTGGAGTGAATAAAGGTTTCGATAGTTTGAGTGCTGTGGTAATTTGCATGTAAGTTACCGTATGCATGAGAAAGGTCGAGAAATTGCATGGAATCGGCTTAAAAATACACAAAACACCGTACAGTTTACTTACAGGATCTCCCAGTAAAATAACACCAACTATAACTCGGCGCAGAAGTATCAGTTCAGTACGATAGTTCCACCATTTGAAAGCCCTTGAAACGGCGAATTTTAAACAAATTTTCACCCGTGTTTTGATTTAAATGCGACATTTTACAAAGCATTTTAAACCATTCAGGAACGGCCTCTGTATCTAATTAACGTTATATTCCGGCCAATTTTTTATTTGGAAGCTCTGGACTAGGGCTGTTCGCGAGTTCCGATCTGAAATTGGTGGGCTGATAGAGTTTGAGCTTGCGCTTCTCACGCGCCAAAAATGTCAGCTTTCCATAAGCGGCCGAGATACAACACGTTTAATTTCGCCACAGATGCCCGATTTTCCAAGTGTGGTTTTTGTGTCGTTAGAATCGCAAGCTCAAACCTCCACAGTCTACCAATTTTCAAGTCGAAACTCTGTGCCGTTTTGCGAGTCATTACTGGTTAGGCATGAAACGATTACAGAGTTACAAATTTAAGACATCTACCGCATGCAGCTACTCATACTCTGCTAGAATTTCATTAGTTCGAGTGAAATTTTATGGCGACCCCGGCGACAGCATGGATTTACCAGCCCTTGCCTAGGACAAATTAGAGATTACAGTTTTAGTGGGCTTCCAAACGGAACCGCTCGAAATGACGCGTGGCATTGGGCAACAGGTAGAATTTGGGATCCGAACGTAACATCGAATTCAAGGCCCATTTATTCTGCCCCATACAATTGCCGAACCCGAAGTCGCCGATTCAATGGACACGGGCTGATGGAAAGGAGATGCCCGTTGAGGCTAAGGTTGATAGAGGTGAGAAAGGGAGAGAGCGAGAGAGAGAGAGAGCGAGAGAGAGCGAGAGAGAGCAAGCGGAGAGAGGGAGGGACCGATCTTGAGCGGTAGAGCCTTAAGCATCCTTTTAGGTATCCTCTCAATCCCATCCGTTCATCGAGGAGACGCCGGGCTTTATACCTGCAGCACCCCAGATAGTCTCGCCACCGCGGAAGTGCATCTGAAAGTGACAAGTCGGTCCCTACCTAGCCCCCGAATTCCCGTTGTAGGCTTCGTTCCAAACTTTGACGGCGCCAGTTGGATCGAATTGACTCCGGTAACCGATAATCAATTCGGCAACCTGCAGCTTGACGTTAATTTTAAGCCAAAATCGAATGAGGGTTGGTTCTTTGGGCTGGTTCCAAGCTTAGCTTCTGCCTCCGCTTGCCGCCAGTTAGGTATCCAAAAAATATACTCTAGGCCTCCTCCTCTACACCGATAAGGTCAACCCCTCACGGTTCGAGACCAATTTCCACGCCGGCGGGGTAAAGGACGGCAAATTTGTGTACACCTACGATATTGGCCATGGTGTCGGTGAGTTTAAAAGCTTCACGACTTTTCTAACTGCTTTTTTTGTTCTTTAGAAGCAATTGAATCACCAAATCGTGTTCGACTGAATGATTGGAACCAGATTCAAATTACTAACACCGATCGGGAAGGTACGAGAATATTTTGACGCTTACGAAGATAAACTTCTAGCTTCCCTGAAGCTCAATGATGGTGGGATCGTCTCGAAAACGCACGCGAAGCCTCGAATCTTACCCTACGAAGCTGTATCGCTGGACATTGGAGGGACCAGCGGGATTCAGCAGAAATACTTGACCAGGATACCTTCGAATTACAAGGGTAAGTTTACCTCGTCGAAACGATACCTTACAACCTTTAGGAGTCATCTCCAGCGTGCTTGTCGATGGGGAACCCCTCGATTTGAGCACGGGGAAAAGGATTGGGGAAGTGTCGCTGTACGATGCTTGTCAAGCCGAGCCTTGCCTCAACGGGGGTGAGTTCAAGATGATCATCTACTGTGTCTTGTCATTAAATTACCAAATAATTTTATTTTGCTTTTTAGGCCACTGCATCCCGGCCAACGTCGGCCAGGGCTACATTTGCCAATGCGATATTCGGTTCACCGGCGATTTCTGCGAGCGCCGATCGGCGGCCTGTGGGGATAGTAAGTATTCTTAAACCTTAGATACCTTTAGAATTGAGTTTTTTAATACAATTTTAGAGATCTACTATTTCTTGCCTTTGAGCCTAGCTACTACATTTTTAGACGATTGCAACGGTGGGATGTGCGTGGAAAACGAGGAAACAGGACTCCTGGGCTGCATCTGCCCAGTTGGCTCCACCGTACGTCCTTTCGACAATTTTGACGCCTTTCTATGGCATATGTGCAAAATATTAACTTATTTCTAGGGCCAATACTGCGACGAAACGATCACGGAAGTTCCAAAAGTTATCTCATTCTCCGGAGACAACGCTTTCCTCGCGCTCCCTGCTCCTACTCAAGTCGAGAACTTCACTGTAAGATAAAGCTCAAAAAACGCCATCGATTTTTTTTTCAGGTGTCAATGAGGGTCATCCCACCACGAGAGCCCAAGAACGAGTCGATGCTGTTGTTCCTGGCTTCGTCTTATGCTGTGGATGCTGAAGGGTTCTTGAATATCGGAATTGTCGACGATAAGATTCAGCTCATATACAAGAATCGTGCCGGTTAGTTAATAGTAAAAAACTATAAATACCGAAATAGAAAATAAACAAAAAGACATGTTAAACGTAACCAATTCTAAGGAAAATCGACCATTTCCTCCATCGCTGCCCTACATCCTGAAGTCGAGAATGTCATCGAGGTTCAGCGAGTTGAAGACAAAACGACATTGTCAGTGAATGGAGTACATTCACGTACCGTTGTAAGTATCAGAAGGGATTAATATGCCTACAAAAAAACAATGACCTACATACTTAGTCGTAAATAGTGATATATCGTACATCTACTCGATTCAGAGCTCCACCTCCTTCCGCCCCGGCACTGATCTGTTCGTTGGAGGTTTGGCGCCAGGAATTCCGAAGCACCAGCAAGCCGCTGTCGAGCCCTATGAGGGTTGTATCAGCGAGGTAAAGCCCATAGATCGATAAGCTACCACCTTTCAGCTTGTCATCAACGGTAGAAGGGTAGATTTTGCCGCGCCTGACGGCTATTCTTCTGGAGATCTGCAACAATGCGGACTTGGCAATGAAACTGGAGCCGATCGGGAAAATCTAGAGGTGAGAGCACTTCGGTTATCGATTAACTTTAATTAAAGAAAAAGGATAATAGTAACAATGTAGTGCTATAAGAACAAGCAAACGCCTTAACTTACCTTACTACTGCAATATTAGGAGTCCAATGACAACGAAGAACGAGCGACGGTCAGCCCACCAGAGCTTGAGCCGTGGGAACCGGAACCTACCCCACTGCCAACGGTATAGCAATTTTTGTGTGTCTGTCCACCTTAAAGTATTTTAGGCGTAGGAAACGCCTTGATTTTAATAATGAATATTATAATAATCATTTCAAGAGTGCGACTACCACCACCACAACGAGGATTCGCCCTACAACTACAAAAATCCCTGAAAGACCAACCCCAACGACACCAAAAGTGGAAGTGACAACGACAGAGGAAGTAGTGCATGTAGGTGCGGGTACCGATCGATCGAAACGTTCACTTTAAAAGTATGTTTGACGCAAGTTTTTTTGCCCCGCTCTCGCGAGGGGGCTCCAAAAATTATTTAATACTCATAATTGTTCGTGTGCACGGAAATCTTTAGTAAAAGGCGAAAGATTTTCTCGGTCAAATGCACACGAACCAGAGGTAAGGAGGGAAGGGGAGGGCTGGATGATTAGATGGGGTAGTGGGCCAGATGTGGGGCGAGTGGGAGGGCAGATATGACTAGCGAACTCGATGCAATCATTCAGACCGTCTACATCCGCCCTGACGTCGAACCATCAGAAGACCCTAATTGGGAATTCCCGGATTGGCAAGCTCCTGAAGAGGCCACTATTTCACCGACTCCATTACCAGATATTCAAGAGGAAGAGGAAACGAATTACGGGAATGCAAATGCTGACCTTGAGGTTGTGTTTCAGCCAGAAACTTTCCCATAGCCAAATTTTAGCCGGAAGTCGTTGAAACCGGTGCTGATGGCCGAGAAATCGTGCCGGAACCTGCAGAAATAACCACCAGCACCACCACAATTGTAAGTTTCAAAGCCTGGGTAAAAACGGGCAAAAACCAGTGGCACTCTAAGTGTGCTTAATACAAAATATAGGATAACCATTTACGGAATGTTTCTCGTATTTTTGTGCTGGCTATGCAAATTTATTCCATTTTCAGGCGCCACGTATTTTGCCCACCGATAAAGCAAAGTCCACCGAATACTCGGCAAGCGCGGAATATTATGAAACAACTCAGGAGCCGGAACCTGCGGTAATGCTTGAAAAAGCATCTTTTTCACCATGTTTTTAGCCACATCCTTATGACAGTAGATCCGATCGCAACCAGGAGCCGGAGGTAAACTTTGGAATTTAGCTGCACTCTTACATGTAACTTTTGAGTTTTTCTTACCTAGCTCTCGCTCTCACCCAACCATTCCTTTTCTCTCTCGCTGTCTCTCTCGCTCTATCCCTCTCCCTATCTCTCTCTAGCCCCAAAAAAATTATTTTTAGATCGAAATCGAAGATCTTCCCGCAGTAAACCCGCGGCCGAGAGAACCAGAATCTGAGGAAGAAGACGAGGAAAACACCACCTACTCTATTGGCCGGGATTCTGAAATCCAAGAACTTCCTGCACAAAGAGTGAGTATTTGGGCTCTTTCAAATGGGACTTCTTTAAGCCCACACCACCAGCCGTGGAGTCAGGCCCGGCAGAACGGGACGAGTTGGGCACTACGATAATTGTACCTAAGGTCGTGACTTCATCGCAGGAGCCGGCCGAAGGTACGAATAAGGAGAAATCTTACTCTGTATCTCTCTCATTCTCTCTCACCCTCTCTCTCTGTCTCTCTCTCATTCTCTCTCACCCTCTCTCTCTCTGTCTCTCTCTCTTTCTCTCTCTTTCTCAACATCAAAATCCGTATTTCAGAGATCGCACCCGAAGTCTGGAGCGAAAAGACCGTACACCCGGACGCAGAACCCGAAGAACTCGAACCAACAGAAGCTGCCCAACCCGATACACCGGAATGGTCAACCCAGCTGCCGGTGCCAGATCTAAACGACAACAGCGGGGAGCTCAGCGGAGAAGAGGTTACGGTTGCCAGTCTGGTGGGTCTATAAACCTAAGCCTAAGCGTAAAATCAAGCCCAATTCTGATACGCTAACTGTTTAGCCACCAACTCCACCCCCTACCACAACCACTCCAAGACCGCCGGTAGTCGTCCATCCAGATCCCTATGTGACGCCCTGTCCAGGTAGGTTTTCAGAAATAACAAAATGCGAAATATTATTAAAAAAATACTGCAATCTAGGCAGGCACTCCGGTTTAATTCTATAATGCTTCTACCCCTTTAATACCTCCAGTTTTTAGGAGGCCGCTGCCGATGGCCCGACCTTTGCGCTAACCACCGCTGCGGCGTCAACGGCGTCTGCCGCCAGCTGAACGAGAGCCACTTCGAGTGCGAGTGCAAGATCTATTACGACGGGCCGAATTGTGATATTTGTAAGTTAATATCAGAAATTAACACAGCCAATCATATCTTTAAGTCAAGCCCATCGAACACGCCGCCAGGTTTAATGGTGACGCGTTTATCGAAATGGCTGGAGACGATTTTCCGCATCTGGTAAGAAGTATCTAAATTTCGTTTTTTTTTCATTTTTTAACGAATTTTGATATGTTATATCCGTTCTAAATAGTAAACCCTCGGCCAACCCATAAAAAAAATCATTTTAGAGCAGCGAGCTGGAGGAGACGATCGAGTTCAAGTTCAAGACGAGCCGCATGAATGGGGTAGGCGATTATACTATGTAAAAGGTTTAATATTTACTTCATGTGTAGTATAATTAGCTTACGACCCTTCTCGATTTAGGTAATCTTCTGGCAAGGTCAAAACCCCGACCAATCCCTCGTTGGCGAGGACTACGTGTCGATCGGCATCCGAGACGGCTTCTTAGTTTTTGCGTGAGTTTTGAAGCATAAATCGGACCTGAATTATAGCTACGAACTCGGTGGTGGCGCCGCGGAGATGGTCAGCATTTTCCGGGTCGATGACGGGTTGATGCATAATGTATGTAAATTGTGTGTTAATTATCGTGAAGAATATCTGATGCATTAAATACATGGTATTTACGTTAAAAATGCTTTTTCTAGGTCTTGGCAATCAGAAAGGGTCGTGATGGCGCTCTGTTCGTAGACGATTTCCCTCCAGTCAATGGAAGTAGCAGTGGGATTTTGGCGATGTTGAATGTTGATGGGAATGTGTATATTGGTAAGTGTTAAGGAATCTTAATCTATATTCGAGTCATGGTGCATCCGAGTTGGGATGTACTCTCACCCCTCCCCACTCGCCCCCCACCTGGCCCACCACCCCCTCTGATCACCAGTCCCCTCACTCGCTAGATACCTCTGGTTCGTGTGCATTTGACCGAGAAAATCTTTCGCCTTTTACTAAAGATTTCCGTGCCCACGAACAATTATGAGTATTACACAATTTTTGGAGCCCCCTCGAGAGAGCGGGGCAAAAACTTGAATGCTGCTTCTTCCGTCTTCAATGCTCAATTTTATAGGCGGCGTCCCCGACCTGAAATTCATGACGGGCGGGCTGCACCGCGCAAACTTTGACGGTTGCGTGGCGGACGTGACGTTGAATGGTGACAAAATGGACCTGATGGGATCGGCGGTTGATGGGCGAAACGTGCGACCATGCGATGAATGGGTCGCACCCAAGAGGTTCCTGCATAGGCATCGCAGGTTTGGCTTTTGGCATGGCTTCTGCTAGTTGAAGTGGGCCGAAAAGTGAAGGTGCCACTGGGTAATACGGTCGTAAGACTCCCTAAAAATTTCAAACGGAGCAGCTTCCGTTCAATTCTAACTGGATACGCCGTAGAGAAAGAAACAAGTGGACATTCTGTGCAATTTTAATCGAATAAAAATATGGTGCGATGTATTACCTTTAATGATATTTTTGCTGGTACCATCCCTCTAAAGCCGCTACCTTAGCGTTACAATATAGATTGTGCAGTATGGTTTTGTATAATTCCAGGAACGCTGATTGGCCACCCCTCACCAAAACCGAGGCCGATCAGATTGATGCTGCGCTGGATTTGTGAGTCGCAAATCTCTTCAAAGTATCTCTCTCTCTCTCTCTCGCTCTCTCTCTCTCTCTCTCTCTCTCTCTCTTTCTCTCTCTCTTTCTCTCTCTCTCTTTGTCTCTCTTGTGCTTTAACGCTATCTCTCTCTCTCTCTCTCTCTCTCGTTCTCTCCCCCCTCTCTCTCTATCTCTCTCTCTGATTTTTCTAAAGGTTGGAGCGTTGGGCTTCGCTAGTGGCGCTCGAAAACCCTTTGAACATGCCGTGTTTTGTAGTGACGTGCTTTTAGGCTAGACCTAGCCTATAAATGGTTGATTTTTAAGCTTTCGACGTCCTTTAGACGCAGATGCATGTTTTTCGAGCCTTTCCAGAAGGTCGTCTAATAAGTCTCCAACATCATCCCCCGGGCCATGCAAATATTTATGTCTAGTCTAGCCAACCTAGAGAGAGAGAGAGAGTGAGAGGTCAGAGATAGAGTGAGAGAGAGTGAGCGAAAGCGAGAGAGAAAAGGCGAGAGAGAGAGAAAGAGAGAGAGAGAGACATAGAGAGAGAGAGAGAGAGAGAGAGAGAGAGAGAGAGAGAGAGAGAGAGAGAGAGAGAGAGAGAGAGAAAGAGCTTCTTGGCCTGCTGGACCCTATAACCAAATTATGCCCACCCATCCCTGCCAATTAATTCCCCCTGCTTTCAGGCGAATCCGGTCGCGACATCGCTGGGGCCGCAAGGAGAAGTTTTTCTTCTAAAAATAAGCCCTACATGACATTCTGAAGACCCATTCCAATTGGACATTCAAGTAGCCAGAAAAAAAAAGTTTGAACCCGTTGCCAGTGTTGCCTTAATTCCCGGTTCTATGTTTTTATACCATTCTTGCCTTCCACGCTCCTTTAATATCGCTATCCCTTTTTTATTATATTTTTATGACCTTTGCAATCTTGCCATTTCGCTTATTATGGTGCTGGTGATAATTTCCCCGTGGCTGCTGCCCTTTTTCTTGTCCTGCTGAATAAATGTATTTATTTTTAGAAGTTATTATGATAACAATTCTTTGCAAATTATTAACATTCCAAAAAAAACACCACGTTTGGGTTCTCAAGGAAAAATTTTAAATAGAATGATTAATGCTACTTTTCGTATCCCACTAAAGGACATTTTTGAGATCTTTGTAATTAACGGCTCTTCGTTGGAAAGGTACTTGATTTTTAGGTAAAGGCTCAATCTTGCCATAACATCTTTTTTTCCTGGTTTCTAGACGTTATTTTGATACTATCCTGTTACTAGAGAAAGTTCTGGGGCCGTAGCTCTCCTCAAAACGTGAACTCCCACTTGCCCCCCACCTGGCCCACTGTTCCCGCTAATCACCTATCCCGTCCCTTCCCTCGTTACCTCTGGTTCGTGTGCATTTGACCGAGAAAATCTTTCGCCTTTTACTAAAGATTTCCGTGCCCACGAACAATTATGAGTATTACACAATTTTTGGAGCCCCCTCGAAAGAGCGGGGACAAATTCGAGCGAAAATCGGGTAACTGCGAGGAAAAGTAAGAAAACATAATAGAGCCTTTGAGAAATTCATAGCCAAAAGCATCTATAGCTAAGCCTTGCCTGTTCCGTTAGGCCGATAAACCTAGTCGAACCATCTTAGGTATCGGAATCGTAGCTTAGGTTCAGAAATGAGTCTCTACTAGGTTTAAGGGACCATTCTGATACCTTGGATGCTTAAAAATAAGGAATTTTTACAAGCCCGTTGGCCAAAACTCGTGCTGAAAATCCTCACCCAGCTGCAAGTATCGCTCTGGATTTAAGGGAACATTCTGATTCGCTGGCTGCTCAAAAATGAGGGGGTTTTACAAACATAGGGCCGCAGTCGTACTCGAAGACCATCAAGTATCGCTCCAGATTTGAGGTACCTCTCTGATACCTTGGATGCTTAAAAATAAGGGTTCTTACAAGCATAGGTTCGCAGCTCGTGCTCAAAAATCATCACCCAGCTTCAGGTACCTATGAACCCTTCCGGTGCCCCCAACAACAACCCCATAATATTTACTGACTTACCTTACCGCGTTGTTAGTGTCGCTGAACTATTTACAACCCACCCGAAAAAGCGATCCCTGATCCTAAGCTCATGTTCTCTCGCTCGAGAGAGAAAGAGGCCTGGTAGTGGCTCGAATTTCCGGGGATTTCTGGGCAAGCCATTTCCCGTCCGGTGGCCCATTTCCAGGAGGACAGCCGCCACCATTTCGGCCGCGTCCGCTTCTTCTTTGCCACATTGGAAGTCTCATCCCAGTCGGCGGGGTTTGATTCCAAAATATTAGTTTGGCCAGCGGGAAGTTCCGCATTAAGGTCATTTTTCCCTAATTCTTGATTTTTTTAAACCGGCTGTATACTTTTTGATTTTGTTTTATTGATCTAACTGCCATTGATCGTTCTCGCGGTGAGAGGCGGCTCCCCTCCCGCGTCCTTGCCCCTGCCTACTGTAGGATGGTATTATCAACTACTGAGTCCCCTACGGCTCAACCTGCGCCCAAAAGGCAACATCCGGGCTCACCTTCCGATAAACCCAAATCGGGGTTTATGCATTTCGCTCCCCCTAACAACTACCCCGATTCGAAGAAAAGCGATGTCTACAAATTCGACAAAGCTGATCATTACACCATCATGGACACGCTGCTACAGGTAGTCCACCAGAACCAATTCCTGTCCAATCAGGTTGACTTTTTGACTCAACAAGTCACTATCCTCCAGAAGACGATCGTAGAGCTCAAGGAACTTAGCTCTCAAAAAACCACTTCATTCCCTACCTATGCCTCAAAAACTGCTGCCAATATTCCTTCCCTACCTCTCGCAACCCTGAAGCAAGTGCTACGTGATGAGCAAACTGCCGATGTACGTGAAAAACAGGTCTTTATCCGTGGCTTGGCAGAAAATGATATTCCGGATCTGCAAAAAATTCAAGAAAAAATGCCAGATTCGCCTAATTCCAAAGCCCCTAAAAAGGTTTTTCGGCTAGGCGGCACTCGTCCGCCAGCAGCAACCTCTCCTCGTCCGGTAATTGCCGAATTCGATTCTCAGAAGGAAGCCCTGAACTTCCTCAAAAATTTCAACCAAGCAGTGGCTCCCACATCCGGAGTGATCGCTCGTCCCAACTATTCAGTGACGGATACACTTCTGTACAAACAGGCCTGGAAAGAGGCCATTCAGAGGAACAATCAAGAGAAGAAGGCGATCTGGACTGTGAGAAACTGCAAACTTGCCCGTCGCCAATATCCTCAGGGAACCGAACCGTCTCCTTGGACCGTTCGCACGCTCCAAAAGTCAAATTAGACTCGATTACCAAGTCTACTTCTCTTCGCACCCTATTCTTAAATGCCCGCTCTCTATTTCCTAAGCTTTCTACCCTAAATGCCCTTCTATTATTGAACCAATACGATATTGTTCTCATTACGGAAACCTGGCTCAAAGCCCAAATTCTGGACACTTTGCTCGTCCTTCCCGGCTATTCGATATTCAGACGTGATCGTGAAGGGCATGGAGGCGGCCTTGCCATAATCTTCCGCAGCCACCTCAAAATCGTAAATGTGAGTATTTCAACCAAGCTCGAAGTTCTATGTCTTGACATATTCTCAAAAAAGTCTAAACGTGATTTGAGGCTTATCCTTTGCTATCATCCCCAACACCATCAGCCTCTTCTACCCCTCATCGAGCTATTATGCAAACTATTAGCAAATTGTATTTCGCCTTATATTCTTCTAGGCGATTTTAACAGTCCTCATATTGACTGGGTCTCCGGGACAACGAAATGTTCAAATTGTCAGAATCTAATTCGATTTGCTGCTAAGTTCGGCCTTTCCCAATTGGTAACTGAGCCAACTCGCTTAAATAACATCCTGGACCTTGTATTTTCTCCTCTTCCGGGGCTCATTGAATCGCTGACCATCGCTGAGCCTTTCAGCGATCACCAGTCAATCGATTTCCATATTTTGCTTAGTCACCAGCGGCTCCCACCCCCCAGGCAAAGAGATTTCCGCCGTGCCCCCTTCGAAGAAATAAATCGGAGAATAGCGGGGATCAACTGGCTTTTTGAGTTCCGCCAGGGAGATGCTGAAAATCTGCAGAATAAATTGGACAATTATCTCCAAAATTTGGTCGAAGAGTTAGTACCTTTCCGAAAACCACGAACCAGACCTTCTGGAAAAACTCTAGTCCTCCTAAAGCGAAAAAAAGCCATTTGGAAAATCGAAGGAAACAGTCCCAGTTACAAAAATGCTTGTAAGGACCTTGACACTGCCCTACGCCAAGAAAATGAACAAAAAGAGCTGGATTTTGTGGATAGGTCATCCGCTGCAGGTCGGATCGGAGCATTGATGAAATTTTATGGTTACGTTCGGTCAAAGACTTCTACCGATAATGCAATTCCTCCACTCTTTATTAGTCAGCATGAGATGGCCGTGACTGATGTCGAAAAAGCTGATGCCCTGCAGTCACAATTTGCCTCAGTATTCACTACCAGCCCTGCCGTACCTTCCTATTTGCCCATAAGAACCAACAAATTACTATCGTTTGTCGATTTTAGCCCTCATATTATAGAGCGGACCATTGTCACCTCTCTTAAGCCCAAGTTCACCCAAACTGCTGACCCGGTGCCAGCATTCTTTGTAAAAGAATGTGCTGGTTCCCTATCCCTCCCCCTTTCTCTAATCTACAGCAGAAGCTTCCACACTGGCGCTGTGCCCTACAGCTGGAAAAAAGCTATAATTTGTCCCATATTTAAGAAAGGCAAGAAATCTGAACCTGGCAACTACCGTCCGATCTCTTTGACGAGCTCCTTCGGCAAAATCATGGAGAAGGTTGTTCGGAAGGCTCTCTCTGAGTTCCTTGAAGATGAAAAACTCTTATCGAAGAACCAATTTGGTTTCTTGAAAGCTCGCTCGACAACTGCTCAGTTGCTAGTTCACCAGCACAATCTCTTAATATCTGATCAGAAAGGACTTTTTTCTGATGTTTGCTATATCGACTTCGCGAAGGCATTCGATACCGTCTGCCATTCCCGGCTACTCCGAAAACTTTCCACCTACGGAATTGCGGACCCGCTTCTTGGCTGGATAAGAAACTGGCTAGTGGGTCGTTCACAAACCGTTCGAGTTGGTGATTCATACTCTATTCCTGCGCCAGTACTGTCTGGTGTTCCACAAGGATCCGTCCTCGGGCCCCTGCTTTTTATTCTATACATAAATGACCTAAATGATCTTCAACATCTACCGAATGGTTTACTCTTTGCGGACGATCTAAAGCTAATCTCCCATTTTTCCAACACTAGTCCATCTGATATGTCTGCTCAGCTGCTTAAGCTCGAGTCCTGGGTCTCGGAAAATCAGCTGACTCTCGCTGCCCCAAAGTGCTCTTCTGTACACTATGGCAGAAGAAATCCGAAGAACACTTATTCGCTAAATGGAAGCCCGCTCCCACAATCAAAATGCATTCGTGATCTGGGTGTCCTGCTATGCGATGACTTCAGCTGCTCGCCAAATGTGGTAGAGGTGACGAAAAAAGCAGCTCGCTGCTCCTTTCTTATTTTCAAAATTTTTCGTAGTAAAATTCCAAATTTGTATATAAAAGCATTTCTAGTTTATATCAGGCCTATAATCGAATATGCCTCAGTAGTTTCATCCCCTTGGCTCAGAAAAGATCAGATTGCTCTAGAAACAATTCAGAAAGACTTCATTCGACGCGTATGCTACCGGTGCCAAGTCCCGTACGTCTCCTATCGTTCGGCATGCACTCAATTCAATCTCGAACCATTGAACAATAGGAGGCTGACCGCGGATTTTCTTTTTCTATTTAATCTCCATAAGATTCCTTCCAATATTTCTGAAAATACTTTCTTTTCTGCCGCCCCCTCTCGAACTCGTGGACTTAAAACCAAAATTAGTCCTATTCTGGCTCCAAAAACCTCTGTGTCAAAAGCTTTTTTCTCCACTCGCGTAGCTGCTCTCTGGAATTCTTTTCCCCAAACTGCCATTGACAGCCCGTCTAGGAAAGCCTTCAAAAATCATCTTTCCCGACTTATCCCCGTCTCCTATCTACTGTGATCGTGTTCTCATCAATCTAGTCTCCTATTTCCATTCCCCTCTTCCACATCTTCAGAATCTTATTAATCCTAATTTCCCTTTATTTATCTATCCCCTCCATCACCCTATTTACGCTCGATTCCTCATACTGTAAGCGTTGACCTTGTTAACCTTGTGTGAGAATAAATAATAATAATAATTCCCCGTCCGGCCTTGTGATTCACTAATTTTAGGCTCATACCTTGCGGTTTAAATTTTACTGCTACTATTACCTTAACTAAATAGCCCAAAGTTTCATTAATGAACGCGAATTGTCGTTTTTCGGGCTCTTATAATTGCGCGGAAATTAGAAATCGGCAGGCCAATGGAGGAGAAGCACCAGAAGACTTTTCTACGTTGGATTCTACACTTTTTCTGCTGTACTTCGCCAAAGGTTAGCTATACCGGGTTATCTTAAAATACTTTAAATTCTAAAGTCCCCAGAAAGTCAGCGTTGGCTCTTTTTTCTTATGGATTTTTGCAACGCACGTGACGCGTCGCGTTGCGCTAAAGCCCCTTCGCTAAACGTGTCGTCTGTATCCCCCAACCAGCCCGCAACATTTCTATAGCGACTCCTCGTTGAGCTACATGGATGTAAAGTATATCAAACTGTACGTCTTGGACTTGCGAGCATTTTGGTGTATTTTACAGCGTTGTAGCTTAATAAGAAGCCGAGATACAGTGGCTTGGTTTGGCTGCCCTGGGGGGTAGCTGAACGACAGCCAAATTCAACAATGCGTTGCGTGTCGCGGGTGCGTTAAAATCCTTAATAGTGCGTTAATAACGCTTTCATATACCCAACCTTTTCGGGGCTCAAAAAGCAAAAACCATGCCGAGGGAGGGGGTCGAACCCGACACCACGGTTTTGTAGGCCTGGATGCTATCCATTAGGCCATAGTGGCAACCCATTGAAGCGGAGGGGGACGTCACAAGAGGGAAAGGTGTCCGAATTCTGTGCGGCAATGGGCGCCCATTGGCGCACAAAATTCGCGCGTCAGTTGTACTTGCCGGAATACATAACTATATATTTGCCTCCAAAACCTTGGGTGTCCCTTTAAACGATTTGAACTTTGCTAGGCCCTCTCAAAAACCCATCGTTCACCCCCAGCCCCTAACCAAACAGCTGGCCTCCCCATTGACCATCCACACAAAATCTATGGCGGTTCCTCGAGCAGGACACATTAACAACCCTAACCTTGGAACGAAATGGGGCACATGACGTCACACTGCTCTGTTTTGACCTTAACTATTTTTAGAAGCAGCCGACAAGAGTGCCAGCCTGGCCTCTGCCCGCTCCACTCTTTCCACCACCACCACCACCTCCAGTCGCCAAATGGAAGAAGAGCTCGAGGAGAGCCTCAGTGGCAGCTGGGGCGCAGAAAGGTGTGTTGGAAAACGGTTTATGGTAGGAATGCCGACATTCAAAAAGATTCCTTACTGTACAAGAGGCTAAAAAGTAGATGGTTTAAGCTTAGGCTTAGGCTTAGGCTTAGGCTTAGGCTTAGGCTTAGGCTTAGGCTTAGGCTTAGGCTTAGGCTTAGGCTTAGGCTTAGGCTTAGGCTTAGGCTTAGGCTTAGGCTTAGGCTTAGGCTTAGGCTTAGGCTTAGGCTTAGGCTTAGGCTAGGCTTAGGCTGCTTAGGCTGCTTAGGCTTAGGCTTAGGCTTAGGCTTAGGCTTAGGCTTAGGCTTAGGCTTAGGCTTAGGCTTAGGCTTAGGCTTAGGCTTAGGCTTAGGCTTAGGCTTAGGCTTAGGCTTAGGCTTAGGCTTAGGCTTGGAAGCAGGCTTAGGCTTAGGCTTAGGCTTAGGCTTGGAGGCTTAGGCTTAGGCTTAGGCTTAGGCTTAGGCTTAGGCTTAGGCTTAGGCTTAGGCTTAGGCTTAGGCTTAGGCTCAAGCTCCGCAACGCTGTCTTGACCCGTTCCCCACTCGCCCCCCACCTGGCCCACTGCCCTGCCATATCATCCCCCAACTTGCTCTTCAGTTATCTCTGGTTCGTGTGCATTTGACCGAGAAAATCTTTCGCCTTTTACTAAAGATTTCCGTGCCCACGAACAATTATGAGTATTTGACAATTTTTGGAGCCCCCTCGAGAGAGCGGGGCAAAATTAATAAGCTTAGCGTTTTGAAGCCACGTTTAACCATATAAAGAACCCTTTTCCAGACCAGCGCACAAATAGTACGACTCGCACGCGTCGCCATTCTACGGCGGCAAGCATGCGGAAACGGCCAGATGCATCCCGGAAATTATCGTCCCTCTCCGCCCAAATGAACCCGAATATCGAGGCGGCGTTCTCGTCGTGGAAGCGCGAGAAGCGCCGCGAGAGTTGAGCCAGATACAGATGTATAAATCGTACAAAATTTCGTTCATTTGGTTCATTGAATTCAATATCTATAATACACCCCAAAATGCTAAGAAAATGGCATGAATTTTCTGCGACATGCCGGGGCTCTGTGGTTGTAGAAGAAGATCCTAAATCATGGGATGAATACACAATTGTATAAAAGTTAATATTTAGGTATTATGAAGTTATTCTATATGATATACAGCTTACCATAATAAAAAACGTTATTTTATAGAGAAGATTTTAGCGTTCTAAAAAATTATATTTCTACCTACCTATGATGCCCAATCGTATTGTCATCATATGCCAACGCGTAGTGGCCTTCGTTTACTAATTTCCGGATAAACTCCATGTATTTAACCTTTTGCTCTATATTTTGCGCAATGTGAGCTTCAAGGTTTATCTGAAATTACAATGTAGAGCTTTTCAAGTGTACGCCTCGCTACAAAACAAACCTGACAAATCGTAAATCCATTTTCCAGCGCTTTCCCAGCCTGTAAATAATCGAATAAATCGTATTCCGCGTATTCGATATCGACAAATAAGTAATCTATCGTTTTTCTAAAGCAAATAGGCTAATTAAAGCATAATTTGCCCTACGATTTGACGATTTCCCCAAAGAATTGATACATCGGCATTGCCGGCATCTTTTTGCGCGTTTGGTACCCGGCTGAAAAGAAGAGGAAATCGGGATTTCTCTATAAAATACTTACATTTTGTTAATATACTCGAATCTGCGACGTTGTTGCCGGAAATTGCCAACTGGTGGTACTCACCGACCTGTTGAAAAATAATTAATAACCCAAATATCTTTACATTTTCATATACGGCCTTGTTTTCTTCCAAAACTGGATCGGCGCCGTAGAATTTACAATTCGGCATCATTGCCTGAAAGGTTTGTCTATTTTTGTAGTTAGGAAAATACTATAAAAGTAGGAAAAGCTGGTTTTATATACTTAATTAGCATACCTTTACTTTGGCCTCAGCCATCGCGTCCTTCCCAATACCCAGAGTGACAAATGTGCAGTTTTCTCGCTAAAAAGGCTTACGATTTTGATAGTTTTAGATGGCTTTAAACCCATTATATTTTATTATTATTATACGTTTATACGTTTGAATTATTATCCGTTGTAAACAGGGGCGTAGCCAGAAAAAAATTTCGGGGGGGGGGGCCGAAAAATTTTTTCGAAAACCTCAAAAAATTAACGAGAAAACAGCGCCGCAGGCGAAAAATTTTGGAAAAAAGGCTATGTAGCTCTACAAATAGCAGCAAAAAACGTGAAAAAATAGCGCCGCAGGCAGCAAAATTTTTGAGAAAATAAAAATCATAAGGGTCCCCCTTATGAAATTTTCGGGCCCCGACCGATTTCGGGGCCCGGGCCCAAGGGGCCCACCTTACGCTACGTCCCTGGTTGTAAATATAGCGCTTTTTCAATACAGATGTACAGGGTGTCCCAAAAAAAAACCCCCCCTCGGCATTTGGCCGTCTTCTATCCCATCGGGACCAAATTTTTACCAGCGATGGGGACCCATAAAAACTATGTGCGGCCGAATTTTCTAAGCAAAATATGATAAAACAAAAAAGTTATCGCTAAAAAACTGCTTTTTGGGAAACGCTAGTACCGATTTTTGGCTATGTTTTCGCAATTAGCATGCCGATTTTGAGTAATTTTCCCAAAAATCGTCATTTTCGGGTCCGTTTCTATTCGTTTTGATAAGAAAAATTGATGAAATGTCCCGATTTTGACGTAATTTTCGTAAATCAAAAAATTCCTCCGGGTGGAAAAAAGTGCCCTCTTCATTTTTGCTAAACATTTCGAGGCCCTAATCCATCAAAATCCTAGTGAAATCGGCAAAATAAACCTTAATTTCAATATAACTTTTTTGCCTTACAATATTTTGCTTAGAAAATTCGGCTGCACATAGTTTTTATGGGTCCCCATCACCGGTAAAAATTTGGTCCTGATCGGATGGAAGACGGCCAAATGCCGAGGGGGGGTTGTTTTTTTTCGGGACACCCTGTATATTTCGGCGCTGGCGCGAGTTAATTTTTGAATTTTGTCAAATTTTCATGACAATTTTATAGCTAAAAACTGTAAAAATTGTTTTTATTTCGTTACATTTACCACCAACCGGATTATTCATTAATATCAATCTTTTGGCCTCATCCTGGTTCTCGACAGAAATTATGTTGGGCCCAAATTTATAGCAATCACGCACGGCCTGCCCGGATCCATCAGCCCAGGTCTAAAAAATTATTAAAACTCGAATAAGTTCATTATAATCGATATATTATATGCATATATCATCTTATTAATAATATTTATTAATTAATGAAAACTTTTAGGACGCTTGCCGAGTCCGGGGTCCGCAATTTTGGGTGTCGCTGCATGCAAACACGATATTTCTTGATCACCGCTTCCCATCTAGTGTCGTCCGATATAGAAATGCTCTTTGTAGAGATAATTGAAGAGTTAGGGGCCTAAAATTCGTTAAATAATACGAAAATACCTACAAAATACAACGTCGCCATGAGAAAAATGCCAAATCCGACGGCCACCGCGAAATATTGATGCATGCTAAATGCCATTGTAGAATCCCAGCTAAGCCAAGCTATTTTAGAGTAAATTTAGTACGGCAAAAAAGTGGTCAATTCGCTATAGTCAAAGTTGGAAAAGATCTTTTAAATGGCCGGTAAAGCATGGTCATCCAGCGGGCCAGAATTCTATTCAGCCTCCGAAACTTCTCATGCCAGAGAATACAATAGCGCCTTACGTTGAGCGTCTCAAATCGTCGTGTCAACCTCCTATTACTAATAGTAAAAAGTTTTTAATTTTACAAAAAGTTACTAAAAACTAGTCGATTCAATTCAAAAATTATATAAAAAATTCAAAATTTTAAAATTCGTTCGGAAAATTTATTGTTTGTAATTTCATGTTAATTAATTTTATAATTGGTGTATTTTTAAAATTCCAAGGCGTTACGTTTAGAGAAAATAAAAGCGTTTAGAAAGAATTCCGAATTTAAAATTAAAAAAATCTAAGTTCTTAGGAAAAACTTGTTCCCGCGATAACGCCAAAGCACCTACGTTTTCAAAAATTTAATCAGATATATGCCTAAGGGTAACGAACATTATTAAATGTTATTTATTACGGGGTACACAAAAAAAATCACAGAACGCGAGCAACATAGAGACATCACAAGCTCAAAAATCGGGGGTCATTTTGGTCGATTGATGGCTGTACCGGGGGATTGCTAAAGCTCGAAAAACAGTCCGCGAAACAACGCGCTTGATCTGGGGCGGAAACAGGGGCGAGCGAAATGATTTTTGTGCCATTCGAAAGGGTGTAGGCCAGCGCGTTCGCACGCTGAAAAAGATTTACGTTTTTTGCCCCACGCAAACGTCACAAATAATGAATCCTATTCCCCAGATCAGCGGCTTGTTTCTGGAGACGCCAAGTACAGGCAGGCAATCACAATCTAGTCCTGAGATCTTCTAAATGCAAAGTTGAGTTGGGTCATTAAGGAAGGGGCGATCGATTGCTTATTAATCAAAAATGAGAAATTTCAAAGCGAAAAATTTTTAAAGTAAGCTACCTAATTTGGGAAGTTCGCATAGAGGAGTGAGTCGATTAAAATTTGCACAGAAAAACACAAAAAATCGAGGCGAGTAAGAGAAACAGCGCAAGAAAACTACAAACTACAATTTCTAAAACTAGACATGGGTTATTTGAAGAAGGTGTTCGTGAGGGGCTCATCATCAAACACCTCGTCCTCCTGCCCGTAGATGCTGTTGTCGATGGCGAACCAGGGGAACCGGACGTGCTTTTCGCAGAATTCGCCTGAAATTGGATATTTAATATTAAAAGTGGATTTTTAAAAAACATAAACGCGTCGATATTTCAACAATACCTGTGTATTGTGGATCACATTCACATCGATACATACTGGGTATCATTCGGAAAACGCAGCGATCGGAGGGGCCCTCAAGAACACAGCGTCCTCGATCGTTACAGAGCTTTCTTGAGCATTTCCGGGCACGATGGGCTATCAAGCTGACGGTACTGAAAACGAAGAATATAGCATTATCGAAAAATAGATATCTCTCTCCCCCCTTTATCTCGTTAATGCCTCCACATTCAATATCTTATCCACCATCGTCCCGCGCACTAAAATCCCAGATGGCCTGATGCCATTGACCTATTATCACATTCCTTAATGCGTAATTATTCCCATAATCACGTGCTCCACATCTGCTTTCTACTATATAATACCCCAAGATTTACATCTAATTATACTCATTCCACAATCATCAGCATCATCATCATGTCTACCACCATCCTTCTCCAATCTGCTACCACTACTACTCAAGCCCGACCTGCTCGAGCTCTACGACTCCGTCGCCCTGATGTGCAAGTGAGTTTTTTTATTTATGGAAACCTATTCTTGAACATACGTTTAAACGTTCATTAAAGCCAAGATTTTCATTTTAAGCCAGATACCAGTTTAGAAACGTTAAGATATACAGAAAATGTAATACACAATATTAATAAGCTAGTAAGGCACTATTTAACGATGAATTCTTTCAGATCTACCGCCCTGGTATGATGAAATTGGGCCGTGACCTGACTGTCCAACCCACTCCGATCTCTACCCCGACCCCGGAATTCGAATTGGAAATCGAAATCATCCCTGTGAAACCGAAAGAAACTGCTATCGTCCCGACTACCGTATTCCAGCCTACAGTACCCCTCACAGCCTTTGATCTCCTATGGAAAATGGTCGAACCGTGGCTACAAATGGATTGGATTGAGGTGAGCTTGAATTCTGCTTATTTGGATTTGATTAACCAAATTTTGTGCAAGAATTCTATATATTCTTCCCTAGCTTCATGATTAGCTTCCAAAAATTAGATTTTAACTTAAAATTGAGAAATTTTAAGTTATGAAGTTTATTAAAGCAGGCAACTTTTAAAGTAACTGGCTAAAACTATCGATTCATATTAAATTTAACTAATTTCATCTTTTTTCAGCTATGCGCCGATGATTATTTCTGCTGCCCCGATCTCGACCAATTCAACAAGACTACCGTACCCCCACAACCTGAAGAGCCCATCCCCGCCGAGCAGTACCTTCAAGAAGACCCAGGTTTCGTCAAGATTTCATCTCGAGGATTCGCCGATTTTTCGAATAATGTCTCTACCAAAATTATTAGCCCTACCGTCACATCTGATTTTTTCACCTCTAAAATTTCCCATTTCCCAACTGCCCTCTACAAATCTGGATTTGCAAAATATTTCCCAAAAATCCCTGTTCGTAATTCCTCTAATTTTACTCTGGTTTCTTGCGTTGGTTTCGCTAAGTTCTAATACGGCAATATTTTCTTATGCCACCCGCTCAATAATTTTCCCATTCTAATACCTACTACTATGATGTCCTCCATTAAATATTAGAAGCGCGATAATCAATCAATTTACAACTCATCTAGAATTTCTATAAACTATTCCATAAATTCCTTTAATCCAATTATATATTCCTTCTCGTATTTCTGTAAGCCACGCAATTTCGCCTATTCTACCAAGCATTGCACTCTTCTGATCCTACTTGTACTTGTACCTCTATTATTTTTTGGATAATAAAATGCTTTTGTTTCCATATCGGTCCTCACATGAAAGCACAGAAATTAAAAAAAAACACTAAAACTTACGGTCCAAGCGTGCGCTCCACAAAATCCCCAATCATGCTGCATCTCGGCTTCCACATCCGCTTCGACGTGCTCCACAGAATTATCCCGGCTGTCCCTGCGTCAGCGCTTTGCTTTATAGAGTTGCAGAGATCTCGCTAAAAAAAAACTATAAATTAAATATTCTTACAAAGTCACCTTTTCATAAAACTCTTCTATCCTCATTTCGTCGTAGGGGTCGTATTCGAATTTGCTGTACGGATAGATGTCGAGGGGGTGATCGGCTGTGAGGGCTATCCTCCGAGATTCGGCGAGGATTGCCTAAATAAAACATAAAATCACTAGATTATAAAGTCAAAATTCCGGATCAACGAGACTCACTTGAATATACCTGAAGTTCCGGTGGGCTCGATTGTCGCCCAGGTAGAGGGAGGGGAACAGCGCGTTGCCGGCTTTCATGATGAAGGCCAAACTAAAATAAAAATATTAAATAAAAGTTGTTGCCTTACTCGTCGTTGTGCGCTTGAAAATTGTCGGCGCAGGTGAATTCGCCATTATGGCCGGCGTCGTAGTTGCAGTAGGGGAACCCGTAGAAGCCCCATTTGGCATACGGGCGCATGATGCGCGCTATTCGGATCGTCTCGAGGAAGATTAGACTAAAACAATTGCCATAAAAAGCCGAAATTAAATTGTCGAAACATCAAAATGCCGAAATTTCAGAATGCCAAAATTTGCATATGTCGAAGTTCACAGTTTCAAAATGCGATATTATGAATTTCAACTAAAAACTTCTACGTTCTGAATGTCGGCATTTCCAAAATAAGTCGACGAATTCAACCATGTCTGTTAGAGCGTACCGCCCAGCCGAGTTGAACTCTTTTTGAGCGATCATTTTTGCGGCTTTGTCGGAAATTGTCGGCTCGCGCTCCTTGACCAGACGCACGGATTCCCGTTGGTACACTCGTTTGTTTCCTAAAACAAAATTTAAATAAATTTACAGAATTAATACCCCAATTCAGGTGAAAAAGCGGCCGCCACTCCTCAAAGTCGATCAGGGCTATCCCCGAAAAATCCTCGTTCGGGATCCGCTCCTCAATGTGTTGTTGCACAGCCGTCAAGTGAGCTGAGATGTCGCAAAGCTAGAAAAGACTAGAATTCTCTAAAAAAACCGACCTGCGGGAGTCCGCCATTAACTGGTAACGATTCGTTTCCCGCGTGAAAATATGGGAAAGTGCCGAAGCTGTACTCGTAGAAGGCGACGATTTGGTCGCCGAAGAAAGATTGATTCTAGGAGGAAAAATAGTTTGTAAAAAAGACTGTCTACTTTATTATGGATGATCTCAAAGTCGTCGAGATGGACCTTGGCGCCTTTGTGTTCGCAGATACCCGTGGGAGCATTCCAGTATACCTGAAATACAAAATGATTCTATTTTCGACCCATTTCCTGAATTTTAAATCTTACTTGGTGCTTATGCATTATCGGGGGGGGGGGGCAACGTCTTTCCTTTGGGGCGAATTTTTTTGCTAACATATATAACGCCTTTCCTGCACCCTTTTCAGTATTCATAACCTTAATCCGTACCTTACTAAACAGTATTTCAAAAAATATAGATTTTTCGAATCAAACTTCAAATTTCTAAAGTTTTTTGAACAGCTTTTAGATAATTTTACCTAAAATATAGGAAAATATAGTTAAAAACGATATTAAACATGCCTGGTATTACGTAACTGCGAATATCTTCCAGGAAAAATCGCCTCCCCCCGATAATGCAGAAGAGCCCAACCTCCAAGTGGTTTTTCACCAACCCCAAATTCCCTTTTACGACTTGCAACTAGCGGGACCAAATATGCGTAGAGTAGCAACGAAAACAGCATAGCTAGCCAAAGTGGGTGGGGGGAACAAAAAGTGCCACTACCTCGAACAGCGATCACCCGCCCCGCGAACCGCTTGAAAAGTCACTATTGTGGGGTGGAGAGGGCAGAAGCAAATACAGAGTCGCCCCCGAATTCTATAGGCTGCGTTTTGGGAAGGCTTTGGTGGTGTAGGGGATCTCACAGTCCTCATGGTCAACCGAAAATCCGCGCAATCCAAAATGGTTTTCGGAACCGGTCCCCCGAGATCAACATATTGGGTGGCGGGGGGAACGGCGTGAGTTATTTTCCCGTGCCGCGTAATCGCGTCAGTCAAATTACGAGGACTGTTTACTCGCAAAGTGCTGCGAGTCGAGATCGGACCCTGTCTAGGTAGCCGACTTTTAAAGGAAAATAAACAAAACAAGACCTTGAACCGTTGAGCATCATATTGGGCAGAGCCGATCTGGGCCAGGGCCAGGAAAATCAGGAAGAGCCACATGCGGCCGCGGACGGATGGCGAATCGCTCCTTCTAAAAAACTGGACTTAAAGGTGAAAATGGTTAAAAGGTGCCGGGTCGTGATTCGGACGAAAATTTGGCATGAAAATAAATGACATTCTTATAAATGTCTATACATCCCTAGCAAAATAAAAATAGTATCATTTTGCTGACCAAAGCCATAAAAAGATTTTTTAATTCCGAAAATTAAGATTTTGAGCTTTTCTGTCACTTTGGCCCTAACTCTACCAGCAAGGCAGCTTTCTTAAAATTTTAGAAGTTTCGAACTACAATTGTACACTCACAACGATTAGCAGCAGAATAAAATCGTTTTTGGTCCACAGAGACTGATCCAGAAATAAGATGAACTTAAATGAAGTGAGGCGAAAATATTATCATTGTGAAAAAATAAGTCAAGTAAACCTTTCTTCGCTTGCCTTAATGAAGGGATTTAAGAGTACGCTCAAAGCTGAATCTAACCATAAACTTTTGGAACAAGCCCGAAAAGTAGAAAACAACGTCATACAAAATCAAAAGCCCATCTCAAAAATGCCATAGCAACATGGGGCATGCCAAAACGAGCCTCCACCCACATTTAATGTGCCCCATACATACCGCGTTGAATACCGGGGGTATCACCCGGTGAATGCGCGAGCGCGCGGTCGAGGGGCGCGGGTGGTTCAACGCGCACCGGGCGGAATGTGTTTGTTTGGGCAACAACATAAGGCGACAATGAAAAGGCCATTTACCCCATCAAACACTCCTTTGCCCGAAAAATATTATGGGAAAGCCGGCTAGACAAATGTGCCCAAATTTAGAAAGGGAAAGGAAGGAAAATTAGCCAATTTTATGAGAAAAGTTGGTGCTCTCATTTTTTAGCAAAATATTTTTTTTTTAGGTGGCGCTAAAAGAGGGCGAGACACTTAATTCCATAGCATTTCACACGCTTTCAAACCGAAAAATGTTTACAAATTCTGATTTCTTGGTCAAAAGTTGGGCAAAAGATTCAGGCTTTCAAGACGTTTCCAGAGTTTTATAATGTTTAGGTAATTAACAACGACTACACTAGAAAAATGGCTGAATCTGTAAAACCATTTTGTAGTTTATTAATAAGCCGCTACATGCCAAATTGAAAAAATTTGCCTTCTTCGCGGTGAATACTAAAGCGCCGAAAGATTCAGACAAACCTCAGCCAGTTTCTCAAATAGCCACTCGTTCGAGCGAACGGGCCCCGATGCAGCACTCCGGCTCGCCTAAAAACGTATAGAGCTCGCGGTGGTCAGCTGCCAATCAAGCTTGCGCTATAAATGAGGCGGAAATTGAGCCCGTGTCACCCAAGGCATAAAATAGGCTGCTCCATGTGACCGAGATAAGCTCACACGGCCCAAAAGCTCAATGCTAAAATAAGCGACCGAAAATCAAATCAACTGCCTCTGCGTAGAATTCCCTGATTTATAGACTTTTTATTATCAACTGCAAAATCTAACTCAGCAAAAAAAAAACATCATACATACCAATAAAGAAACCTCTAAACATGCAAATAAACAAAATGGGATAGCGAAATCTGGCGAGGTTAACAAAGTGAGAAAATGCAAAGAGACAAGCTACCAGGGAAAGGTAAGCGGTGAAAGAGAGGGGAATTGTAACTTATCAGGCGAAGAGCTGGCGATAAACGGCAAGGCTGGCAGCCACATCGTTGTCGCGCACGCGTCTAAAGCAAGGGATAAAAACTGAAGACAATAGCTTACATCAAATCCCGCTTTGTCTCCGGCAATGTATCGTCACTCAGATTGCAAATCTTTGCTATTCGTGGAAACGAGGTGATTCGATTTTTGAAGGGCGCCGATGAGAAGGGTGCCGGTTTCTAAAACCGACATATAAAACGAAAGACACTAGAGTCTGAAATATTTCTAGAGAAGGAAGGTATTCTTCGACAAGGTAGGCAGCAACGCAAAATCTGGCATCTTGATAGTTTTCTTTGTAAAATTTAGCTAAATCTCGTTGGGGAAAACATATCTAAAAAGTGACACTTCGGTCGAAAATCGATTTTCGGTATTCTTAATACACATGTTAAAGTTTGACGATCTGGAATAGTAGCCAAAGTATTGAACTATTCAAGATACCTATTTTAACACATTTGATTACTAGGGAACGGCCCACTTTACGCAAAAAGGCCAAAAACACCTGAATACCTTTGACGGGACGAGCGCGAAGAAGGCGGCTTCTTGCAGCTCATCTTTGCTAGGTGGCGCAGAAATCAAGGCTCTAAAGACATGTAAAAATAAGATGGAACTCAAAAAAAACCTTTCCGGCAGGCTCTCCAGGAAAACGCCGCCCGAACTGAAGCAGCTCTTTGCGTGCACCGCAAACCGGTCCGGGTCAAAAGTCATGAAGCCACCGCACGAGCACTTGTAGCGGATTCTAAAAACAAAAATCATTAAAACACAAAAACTACTACCTCCCAATACGCTGCTTATTCAGGCCGCCGCGCAGAATCTTGGGGGCCGCGATAATTCGGCGAGTCGACGGCGTTTTTTCGTATTGCTTGTACGGGCACGGTCGGTCACAAATCGGGCAGTCGTCATTGTTGTTGCCGTCGCAGGGTTTACTCGGCTTCGCTGGCAGGTTGAGCGTTTGATTTTTAATCTGCTAAATGTTAAAAAATCAAATAGTTAGGTTTACCATGGTGATCGTCCAGGTGGACAATTTGATGCCGGTGTGTGCGGCACTTAGGTGTGCAGAGAGCTGTGACCGTGTGAGAAAGGTGTAGGCGCATCGAGGGCACCGGTGCGCTTGCTCAACTAAAATCGTTATATTAGTCGAATTAAAATACAGCTTTTTCGACGAAAATTCAAATATTTTGGACATTTTCAACTATGTAAAATGATTTTTCCGTTGAAATACAGTTAGATTTACTAAAAAACCAGCCTCTTTTACGTTACTAGACCGACCGGAAATACTACATTAACCCGCCTTTTAGCAATCAATCTTTACCTTTTAGATGCTCCACAAAATGATCCACCAACGCCGAGCAGTCTATTTTGACCTCGTTCCTTAGCCGGATATGCTTGCGCGGCAGAAAAATGACGAACGGGCAGAAGGGGCACCACAGCATGTTCGTATCACGGTGTATCTAAATAGCATAACGAAACTTAACTAAAATCATTATTTACCTGCGCGTAGTGATCAAAAAGCTGCATCCGCGAGGACGTCCGAAAGTCGCAGCCATGCCCTCGACAAATGTACGGGGAATCCTGCAAAACGTTTGCAGGAAATAGAAAACTACAACTTACACCGGCTGGATGAGTTCCCAAGTGTTCGAGTAAATCGGGCTGTGTTTCTTCACAAATCGCACACATTTCCTCGCCGCGGTTTCCGGTGATCCGTGAATGGGCATCCTTGAAATGTAGCTAAAAATGAAAAGAATAGCATGATAAATCAAGCGATACCTGAACATCATATTGGCATTGAAAGCCTTGCAAGCACTCTGGGCATCGTGTCGATATGTGAACCCCGCGCACCGCATCCAACATCGAAAGTG